CTCCAAAATTTCATTCTCTTTTAAGGTATTATGGTTTAGAYATGGGGTATCCTCCAAAGCTTATGTGTTTGACAATGTAGAAAGTTTGGAGGTGAAATAATTAGGTTTGAGAAAGCCTTAACCTAATCAGTGTGTTAATCCAGTTGAATGGATTAACTGGGTGGTAGCTATAGGCAGATAAAGTGAGGCTGGAAAAGGTGGGTCAGAAGAGATGTACCTTTGGGGTATATATTTTGTCCCTGCTGAGCAGCACACTCTCTCTCTGAATCCTTCGGGCCATTTTCTGAGTTGCTTTTTTCCTTTGCACTCTTCTCCCATGATGTTCTGCTTTATCTTGGGTCCAGAGCAATGCAGCTAACAGTCTATGGACTGAGACCTCTGAAACCATGTTTACCAAATAAACTTTTCCTTTTCTAAAGCTGTTCTTGTCAGGTTTTTTGGTCATAGCAGMAAACTGCTGACTTAAACACCTGGTTCTTTCAGGAATGAAAAACCATTTTGGCTTTAACACCAGATGGTCATACTGTTGACCATCTTAGCACTGTCCTGTAAAATTTTCTTTAATGGAAATCCATATAAATGTTATATATCTGACCTCACTAAGGCAATAGCCACTGAGTGCATGAGGCTACTGAAGTATAGGAAATATGATTAGTGTGACTGAGGAAGTAAATGTTAAAGATTTAATTTTATCTGTCTAAATTTAATTTTAAATAGCCACTGTGGCAGGTAACTACTTAGCTCAGTTCTCTTCCTAATCTACCCCTTCCCTTCCTGCTGCCTTCTCTTCTACCACCCTTTCATACTACCCTCCTTACAAGGATGGCTCTTATTCCTAGCTCACCCAAGGAGACAGCTTGCCCATGTGATTGCCTGGATTCTGTCTCTAGATGTGAGGCTGCTTCTTTTCAGTGTTCCTTCCCCAAGGCTGATTCTACACAGTGAAGCTTAGAAGCACYGTGCTCATATTCCTGAAGTTTGGACCTATGTCCCTGGCCAGAAGCTCTCTTTTTCCAATTCATTTGGAATCTCATCCTTGGACTAATGGGCTTTGATCTACATCCTTACTATACCTGGTTCTCTCTATGGCTGTGCTTAATATTTGTTCCTGCAACTACCTATACTGTCCATTGCCTGCAGTGGGTAAAGATTCTCACCTCTAGTCTAAGCCAAACTGAAYCCACTCATATTTCTGGTACTTGACCAGTACTGTTTTGTAAACTGCCTTATATCCTTCACCATGAGAAGATGTAAGGATTAAGAGAATTTAGACAACCACAGAACTATCTCTTTAAAAAGCTTTGAAAATAGCCCAGCTACAACAGGTAGACATTTTTGAAAAGAATGAGACAAATTCCTTTTAAAAAGAAGTGGAAGGTTAAAAAGAAAAGAAAAAAGAGAGCAATTTTCTTTTCTTTTGCTAAAACCTGCTGCTATATGACTTTTAAAAAACATCCCAGAGAACAAAGCACAAAATCTGGATCTAGAATTTGCCATAGGAAAGCATATCCTGAGATTCSGAAGGACTGAAGAGGGTGGTTACTGCTGAAGCTCTAGAAAACATGAATCAAGGACAGTCTCTAGACCCTCACATRGAGCTTGAGCTAAGTGATAAGTCCTGAGAAGCACTGGGGATTTGGCTGCCATATAAATGGGCCAGTTGGATTTTTGAATAGATCATTTATGAAGGTTTTTAAGTGGCTAATCAAATACCAGAGGAGTAAAAGGATCCATATTCCAAMTGTTTCCAGGAGTGTTTGAAGAATTGATTAGATAATAGCATCTATACTTCCAGAAGCTAGCTTCATGGGAGTGATTGGGCCAAATGTTACACGAGTCCATATTCTCCACACAAAGGTGAACTAACTTTCCACAAGCAGCTTTTTATCCATCCTTATGTGCTAAGTGCTGGACCAAGGAACTAGTTACCAGGATTGTTTTTTTTCCCAATGATCAACTATTATGTGAATGAATAAACTCATGCACAAAGACTGGCAGTCAGCTTTTCAGGTAGATGAACAGATGGTGTCAAAACTGTAGGAGACACACATATTGAATCACATCCATAAAGACAGAGGATCTAATACAAAGAACTGATAGTCATAGTCCTAAACCTGAAATAAATTGCACAATACTAAGAAAACTCCATTGCCTTCCTTCTGTATGGGTTTATTTATATATAATATTGACTACACAGACATAAATACACATATACCTAGGCAGAGTATCAGGTTAGTTCTCTTCTGTTGCTGCTTTTATATTTTTTTTCTTTAATGATTACAATAACATTTTGAAAACTTAATATATCTGACTTGCATTCCAGCAGGGTTCTGTTCAGGATTGAAAAGCAACTTAAATCTAGACAGCCAGCTTCTGCTAGGGGAATTAGGGTTTCTGTTCAGTATAATAAACGATCCCAAGATAAATATAATTCTTTTTAAAATCCTAGATGGTAGTGTATCTTCTTTCCAATACAGAAACAGAGGAGTCTGGTTCTATTTAGTTTGTCTGATTGCTTTGAAGAAGGGGACAGGCTGACTCTGGAAAAGCTATGGTCCTCTATTCATTAAAGTGTCAATAAAACTCAGCCCAGGCATATTGACAGCGGATTAGCTTGGGCTGAGTCTGTGTACAAGACCAATGCCTTTTTTAACCCAGCTTGTTTCCAAATCAATACACCCATCAGCATTCGAAAATTAGCCCAAGATGAGATTCCAATACTTGAGGTGGTGTGTCATGCTAAGAGGGCACCTAGCCAAGTCACAGATGTAAACATCAAGATGTGGATTAGACATTTTCCATTAGCTTGGACATGAGTGAAGATGGATGTAGAGTACATTCCCTCACCCCTCCCATCATCCCATCTCCCAGGTACTCTACCTTCTCTTCTGGAGCCCATGTAAGATCTTCACACTATAATTCCAGCCATTTTCTTCAATAAGCATTTATTACATGTTCAATTTGTATAAGACATTCGACCAAGTATTAGGACAGGACTGTGTAGGTGTGTGCAGGAGTGTGTGGGTGTGTGACTTAAGGGAAAAAAAAAATCTGCCATAAACCACAGTGTCTTGTTTTAAAGGAGACATTAGCATTTTCATAATTCCTTCCTTTCCTCTATCCATAAATGTTCTGTTTCCTAAGCAAATTCCTGTTCGTAGTTCCTACTCTTTCATTATCATTACTAGATATTCTGCCCTAGGAATTACTTCAAAAAGCACAGTCTAGTGGAAATTACAGAAGGTGCCACTGGAACATTTGCCAAACCTTCCCATAGTTTGGTGATTCTTTATTTTGTCTACCATAAAAATGTWTTTGTATTAAAACAGACAGACATTGAAACAACAATATCATGTAACAATTCCTACCCTGGTATGGAAAACATACTTTAATACCTTTTTTGCAATTCTATTTAAAAAATGCAATTTGCATGTAGCAGCTTGAAAAAGACTTATTCATTTATAGAACCAATAAAATAAAGAAAACATTATGATTTCTTTGGTGAAAAAAAAAAGAGTGAGGGAAAAAAATCACACACAAAAAAATTTTTGTGAGCACACTCTGCCACAATGTGAGAGCTTCCAATGTCAAACTGGCATCATCTCTTACCAAGCAAGGCCTGATGTTCCCCTCATTCTAGCCTGTCCTCCTGTTATTACAGCTCACCCTATCTTGCTTTTCACAGTTTGGATTCCCGAGGCAAGTTTTGCTGTCTCCTCCATTCTCATAGCTAGCTTTCCCCTGATTCTTCCAGTTTGTTGAGCTTTACCTTCTTGAGCCATGCTCTTTCCCATTTTCCTATAGCCAATCCTCCCATAGCTCTACCCTTCTCTCAAGGATGCTGACAGGAAGGGTCAGCTCCAGGAACCTCCAGGAAAGGAAGGAGTTCATTGCACCTGTCTGGATGAAGAAACGCCAACAGAGCAGCTGGCATTTAATTGCTTGGGGGCTTTAGCTTCTGAGATAATAAAATGTTTTTAATCCATCGTAAAACCTATCTAAAAAGTTTAAAAAATGACAACAGCATTCAAAAATAGAAAGAAAAAAAAAGAACTTCTTTAATAGCACAACAGCTAACACATAAGTAGCCTTTCTATGGGCCAGGCCTTCTCCTAAGTGTTTTATGTGCTGTACATATAAAATTGAATCCTTACCCCTGCTCCACACATTGACCCCATTATACAGAAAAAGACCTGTGAGGCACAATGATAACTTGATCCAGTTCTCACAGCCAGAAAGCAGCCCATTGTGACTCTAAGCTCTTACTGACTAGGAATGCATCCACAGGCTGCATTATCTGAATGCTCCAGGGACCAGTTCTGCTTTGTCCCAAGTTCTGAGCAAAAGAGCATAATGCAGGGAAACATACACAGAGACAAACTCCAAATGAACTGCAGCAACAAAAGAACCCAAACAAACACACAAGGCCTCAAAAGTGCAGAAGGGAAGGACAGTCAAGCTGTAACAAAAACACAATGAATCTGACCGATTTTAGAAGAGAAGTGACAAATCAAAACCCAAGGCTGAGGCATGAGGGAAAATGCAAGCAAACCGGAAACAAAGGGGCTGGTTGGGAAGGATGCACTTGAGGGAAGACCCCTGAGCCTCCTTGATGGCTYTGCTTTGTGTCAAGGCTGGTCTAGGCTATGGAATATGTGTAGCACCAAAAGAACACTGTAACGCCGGTCTTAACATAAAGCAATCTTGGAGATGGATGAAACATTAAAAAAAATGCTTAGAGGAGAAAAAAACAAGRAAAGCAATAATTAGAGGATAATTTCTATGAAAATATATTCTGGAATAAAAGCAAAAATGAAAACAAAAGTTCTATTCAATGGGCAAATGATTGCAAAATTCAGCTTCTAAAAACAAAATGACAGAAAGATATCCTCACTGGGAAGGATCAAAAGAATACATCTCTATTAAGGTCAATGAAAAAGTAATTAATATACAGGCTTTCCTTGCCATCCATTCTGACCTCCCAGCCAAGCTTCACCCACCTTGTACAATGAGGTGGACCCGAGAGGTCTTTGGGTGGTTGTCTGTCTGCACAGAGCAGGTGTATGGGCCCTCGTCATACACATCCACATTCTGGATCTCGATGCTGTACTGAGTTTGGGTGTTGCTCAGGAGGACCACACGAGGATCCAGGCACCACTTGTCATTCCCAGCGTAGAGGATGGTGCTGCGGTTTAGCCAGGCCACCCGGGTAACCCGGTTGTCAATCGTGCACCTGAAGGTAAGACAAGACAGGTAAGTCAAAAGATCAGGGAGTAAACAGGGGCCATTGGAGTGGGGTTGTCATGGCAAGGCTAGGATTATTATTCAGCCTTATCTTTCCCCCTTATGTCTGTGTATGTGTGTGTGTGTGTGTGTGTGTGTGTGTGTGTGTGTGTATACACACACATTTACTTTTTTGATCTGTTATTGGTGAACTTTCTGAAACACAGTAGCCAAGGCCTTTTGGGATTAAAATCTCAGAATATTGGTTGTCTTAGACTTGCAGGTCCAAAGGAGTTCAGTGCCTCTGAAATTATCTGGGCAAAGAATTGCTTCAAACAACTTCTCAGTTATAACCTGGAGGTATCTTGCATACTCAGAATGGCTGGATCCTTTAGCACTACTGGCCTTCCCTTGGCCCAAGAATTTCCATGCTGTGGATGCTTATAATCACTCTAATTACTGTCTAGGTGTTTTGAGTGTACTAATTCATACAATGCTTACAACCACTCTATGGTATATATTCTCTTGGTGAAGGAATTGAGGAACAGAGCGACTGAATAATTCTCCAATTCATACGGATAATATGTGCTAGATCAGAAACCCAGCTTTTAACTACTAACCATTATTCCATGCGTCTCAGAATAGCAAATTCTGACAGAAGGCTTCTGAAGTTAAAACTAAATATGGACCACCACCATTGCTATTTATCTTCATTACACCCAGGGGCAGAAATGTTCAATTATTGCTAGACTAAAGGCATTTTCCCAAAGCTCAAAACTGTTTGCACATATAAAAATAGATTCCTTTTCTTTTATTTTTGCATCTGGAGTCCTCAAATTGTGGAAGCTTCCTTCTCTTTTCTATACTTTAAAATTTGCCAGAGATCTCACAAGTCCTCATCATGTCTTTCTGTCTGTATTCATTCCCCTCTCTTGCTATACCACACATATTCTATGGCCTTAGGGCAAATTCACAAATACAGCATCCTGATCCTAACTATAATGCTGGAAATAGCAATGTTACACAGTACACATAATGATGCCTCAAATTTATACATTCTATTGCAATATACAAAGCACTTTTACATTCACACTGTCTCATTTGATTCCTGCGTATCTGTGAGGTAGATGCTCTCACCCATTCTCTGTTTAGAGACCAGGACTTTGGAGTTTCCAAATGATCTGGGTCTTGCCCAAGGTAAGAGCACGGAAATAATGGAGTCAGATCTATCTCTCAGTCAGTGTTTTTTATTTCTGGTTCTGACTATTCCTCAGAAGGCACAAAGCTTCATTTTTAGTGGGGAGGGGTTTTTCTTCTATTTTATTCTCAAAATGATCTGTCCATAAGTAAAAAAAAAAAAAAATCTAAGAGCTAATACTGAGCACCTTCACATTGCTATTTCTAGTTTCCTCAGGCAGTTGGTCCCTCTCGAGATGAGACATCCTGTACTATGCATCCTTTCCACTTTACTTGTGTAAATGTCACACCACTATGGAAGGGCCACTAAGGTGCAGGTGGACGTTTTGCTGAGAGCTCCTGCAGGGAAAATTGCTCAACCAGAAAAAAAAAAAAAAACTTTGTTCTGGTATCCAGCAAGTTTTGAGCTGCTTATTGAATTTTCTGGAAATTCAGAAGAGATGCATTGTCTCTGATATCAGTAAAACATACAGCATGAAAATGGTGGAAGATCTACTGGGGGAAAGATAAGGAGACTATTTCTGGAAAAGGGTGTAACACACTTATGTCAGAATCACATGAGAGGTACTTAACCTCTATCACCCACTAGTCTACTGATTCAGAATCTGGGAAACCAGAAATACAAATTTATAATAAAGGGCAAGTWGGGCCATGTACTCACTAAAGTCTGATGTTGAATAGTGTATTCTGGATCACCTACATAATTTATTGGAGCCTGGAGCAAAAGGAAAATGGGGAGACCTTTGCTCAAGAATTAGTAAGAGTTTTAAGATGGTAAGAGTAGAACATGAAACTAATTGCTGGTCCCACTGCAAGTAATCACAGTTGGAAATCTAGCTATGAATGCACCTCAAACTTCTTTATACTATTGAACTGCCTGGGAATCTTGATGAAATGTGGATTCTGAGTGCATAGATCTGAGGTAGAATCTGGGATTCTGTATCTTTAGGAAGCTTACAGGTGATGACAGTATAGATGGTCCCTGGATCGCTTCTTGAGAAGCATTTATCTGGAGGTAAATTTTGTGTACATTAGCATTTGCAAAGCACCAAGATAGCAAAAGTGTGATCAGCAAACAGCAGGCTCAATATCACTTGGGAACTTGTTAGAAATACAGAATCCCATGCCCTACATCAGAGGAATTGAATTGGAATCTGCATTTTAATAAGATCTCCAGGTAACTCAAATGCACACTTCGTGGCCTAGAGTGTACTAAAAACCTTCTTTTATGCTTTAATGATAATATCCGGACTATATTCTGGGAGGGAACAAGTGGAGAGAAGGTCAAACAATGAAGGAGGTTCCTGACACTGTTCCTTCCCTTACATCTTGGGCTGCCATTCCTGAAATATGGATTTGAAATGACATTGATCTCAAATCCCTCAAGAGCAACAACACAATCCACAGCTTGCTTTACTAGTAATGTACCTGGGACACCATTTATGTTAACAAGCATTCGTTGCTCTGACTTGCATGTGGGTCCAAGAAAGGAACTGGTTAAAATTCACATTTATGGCTAATACTTTAATGAACACATATTACTATATGCTATGTTACCATGCAATTCCATTAGCTGCAATTTTAGCATCTCAAAAACTTGATCATGTTCACTTACTGTTGACAATTTACAGATGAGACTGAGAGTAAGAAACATCTTTATTGATTATGATCACACTGATATTAAGCTGTAGAAATAAGAATAACCAATGCTGTTGTTTTTTTTTTCAAATTCGATATTTTTTTAATGAGAGAGAGAGAGAGAGAGAGAGAGAATTTTTTCAATACTTATTTTTAAATTCTCGGCAGACACAACATCTTTGTTTGTATGTAGTGCTGAGGATCGAACCCGCGCCGCACGCATGCCAGGCGAGGACGCTACCGCTTGAGCCACATCCCCAGCCCCAAATTTGATATTCTTAAATGGCCTTATGTGATCTCAAAAGAACATCTAGATTGGTGGTTCTCAAATTCAAATTGAATCATCATCTCCTGGATGATCTGAAAGCATTAGTCATTGCTGAGTGCCTGCCTGCACTTTTCTCATCCAGTAGTTATGAGATGGGGGTCTAAGAAACTGCATTTCTGATATAATCCCAAGTGGTATAGATGCTGCTCGTCTGGAGACCCCTACTTTGAAAACCAATAACTTAGATATCTGGTTCCTGGTGGAATGAGAGGAGGAGAGTGAATAGGCAATAGGAAATGACTCTTGTTGGGAACAATTTCCCATTACGCTGCAGGAGAGAACTTTCTTGTACCCAGTGTGTTCTGGGAAAACAGAAGCAGACTCCTAGTTATTTTTCTCCAGCCAGCTACCAGTTAAATGCCCATAGTGCAGGAAATGCTGACCAACAGACTCTAAGTAACGTGAATAATTGTTGTTGATRGCTGTAACACAGGCATCTCACAACCTCAAGAGGAATACATGAGGACTGTCCTGGGCTTTTTTGTGAGCATCTAATTATTGAAAATCAACTAAAACAGAAGTGTTCCCACCACACTGCATTGCATTACAAAGCCAAAGAGGTTCCTCTGCAGATACACTAGCGCTCAGAACATAGCCAATTTCCAGCACAGTTATGCGGCCCCTGTGATATACTACACTGAAAAGCTGGCATAACTTCAGCTGCGGTTTTGGGCACATCCAAGGTCATGTTTAGATGTCCAAACTGTCACTGCTGGATATCAGTCTTGCTGAGTCTCCACGGAATTAACGCTGGCTTCTGCAGAGATGGATCACAAAGGTAACTTGGCAGCCAACTCCTGTCACCTCCTCATACCTGCCCCCATCTATCTGTCTCATTTATCCGGTCTCCATAACAATGCAGAGGAGACATTTCTCCTAGGTTAAAGRAAAAAAAAGTGAAAATGAGCATAATTGCTCTCTCAGTCAGAGCAAGTGCTCTGGTGGATAGGGATTAGGTAGAAATTTGGGATTGGGGAATTAAGCCAACATGTTCCTTTATTCAGATACTGTCCTTCATATGGTTTTTCTATCAAATGACTCCTCAAACACATGATTTTATTTCACCTTCTTCAAGAAGGAAATTAAATATATTATTAACTAGGAGTAAATAAGATTTCATAATTTTCTGTCCATGACAGGTGAACAAACATGGAGATGTTTATTCCTCAGATATCAGAGAAACAGTCCCAAGTTGACAGAATGCAGGCCAGGAAGAGAGATGGGAGACAGAAGGGAGGGAAGGGTCCAGAATAAACTTTGAAAGTCTCTCACCTTTTCCACAATCTTGATACATACCACCTTTCCACTTCAACATCCTCCCTACCCAACACAACTAAGATAAAAGGAACCAAGAACAACCTTAGTGTGCCCAAGGATTCTGGGTTGGACCTGAGATCTGCCAGCTCCCCTCCATTCTGGTAGCTTTCGGTTATCCAGCTTCAATGCCAGCCACTCAGTCACTGGCCATCAGCCTTTGGCACTTCTGAGTGACTTTTCCATCACCACCAGTCCCTCCTGCATGTGATCCCAATGGACAGCCATTGGCCTAGCCTATTCAGCATCCTGGAGCATCCAGATAGAAAGCCTTGAAGAGACATTCATTTGCCATTTCAGTCTACATATACTTTCTCAGTGTATGTATGTATATGTGTATGTGTATTTCTTGTTCTTCTTCTAGAGAAATTTCTTCTAGAAACTCTTAGTGGATAGACATATTCTAGTTGAGCATGGATTATTGAGGGCATCCTCCCCCCTCCTCATATTAATTGTCAATGCATTCTCTTTAATGATGAAAATTGTCATGTGTAGTTGGCCAAAAGAGGACCCTGCCATATGAGCACATGTTT